GACTGATTTACCATCTTAGGGAATTTAGTCCTCAGGGATTTGTGTCTGCGACGCGAGCAACGTGTTATAATTCTAGCTATCAGTCGCTGTAATCACATCTCGTAATCGCAGCATCTCAATGACGGAGCACTCCTTCTTTCCACTGTTATTAACTTTTTTTTCTACGAGGAAGCATTAATTCCAACTTGGAATGTTTCACGATCAAGGCATATGGAAGCACTCGTCGATCATAAAGTCAACGATCCTTTAGTCGAAGTATTTATAAAAGAGCAGGAAAGGTTATTACTCTGCTGAAGTGTTTTCCATCTCCCAGATCTAATTTGTTCTCTATGTTATGGTTTTTTGCTGGTGTGCAGGCACAAACACCTCCTAACTGGAGAAAGACCAATGCAACAGCAGCACAAGGGGATTCTACTGATTTATGATCTTATTACGTGCTACCCTTAGATGTTTTCCAACCAGGAGGGATTGGGTCAAGAACCCGCCTTCACAAGTGCAGCCAAGAACTCTAGCACGAAAATGTGACTTAGCTGCAGGCGCATGGTTTATGAACTGGAGTTTTGTTTATCGCTTTCCTTGTCTGCCGATCTGTGTCTCGCTTTCCACCCGCATTCTACCTCATCTGCTCCTGCGTTGCTCGCGGAATTAACTGTTTGCCCTGTTGTTGTTGTCGTCCGTCGTCTCGCTTTCATTACTTGTCCGACACTTCCGTTAAGTAGGGCACCAAGAACCGCGCAAATCATCACTGAACTTTACGCTACCTAATTTGCGATCAAAATCTCAAAAAACCTCATCTTACATTTGAATTTCCTCATCGCCTTGAATGAGGTGAGCTTTCCGTCCGAGGGTGACACCGCCCATCATCTGCGCCAGCTGTTTTCTCTGCGTGTCAGCTTGTTCGCACACAAATCGCATTATCTAGTTCGGCGCTCTTCTTTTATTCGCGTGTTTCGCGTCAAATAGTGCCTACTTTCGCCTACTTATATCACTTTGCACTTCCTTTATCGCTGCCATAATTTTACAAGCGCATTTCTCTAACTGATAAAAGTTTTCCCCTGATCTGAATTTGAGCC